ACACTCAAAAAATTGACCAAGCTGTTAATTTATGACAGGCAAGTGTGAGAATTTGCATTGTTTCAGACACCAAAATGCAATGTTTAGTGAATAAACCAGTTTTCACTTACTGAAAGGATATTGTATTTAAATCTTTATGTAAGTCTCATATGACAGGTGTAAAAAATTTAGTTAAAATTCCCATGCAATATAGAAATGGTGATGCAGGAACATTGATATACAATCACACTGGATGAATAACCTCCTGTATAATCCATATGTGTGCTGAGTTAACCAGGAGGGTTCAATGCAGGGGAGAAGGGAATGATCCCAGACCGCCAGATAGAAGGTAGGCCCCAGGCCGCGGTCTCCACTAGTCTTAGTTTCCCCCTAGGGGAAAGTAGAAAGCGAAATGCATCCCAGAATCAATTTAACGGGCGGGGGAAGGTGAGTGTGCGGTAGCGCTCCCTCCTACACCCGGCGGACACATGCGATCCGCGATGCGAGCCAGCCACGGTAGGCAGCCACGTGTAAAAGCTCCGGTTGGCAGGTAGAGGGCTTGTTCGCGAGCACCCCGTGACCGGAGGAGGAAGCACACACACAGGACCACTGGAGACATACTCCGCGGTCCCGGGGCTCAAGGGGTCATAGGAGGCAGAACAGGCTGCCCTCCTGAAACCCCTGAGCGGTACAATACCTGCGTGATCAAAGAAGCGGGCAACCAAGTGAAGTGAAACAAAAAGGGGGACAGAAACGGGGGGGAGGAGGAAGAGGGGAACCCCAGAGGGTATAAATAAATATAGTGGAAGGAATCAAAACTCCCCACAACCCCAGAGGGAATAAGGCAGATAGCCTAAATTACTAATACCAAGGAGTCCACAAATAATTAATAAATTTAAACAGTAATATAATAAAATCCCAAAGCCACCCACCAGCAGCAGGAGGCAGTGGTACTCTGACCTGTACTGACTGTGGAGCAGCAAAGAAAGAGGAAATGATGTATGGGGAGGGTAGTTTAATAGTACCTAACTTTTTTCTGATTGGTTGTTTTTTTATGTGCTGCTGTGGAGTTCTAGTAAAGAGAGACTAAAACAAATACAAAGCCTCCTGTCATGTTATAAAATTGTCAAGAAGTCAAAGTGAATTCAAATTTAATTTCAAATTTAAAGTGAAAATGGCTGAATTGGAAAAAAAGTTTCCAAGTCAGCTTTATTTTTAGTTTGGTATTATGATCTAAAATTTTAAATCCACTCAATTCTCATTTTAGTAAAAATCCCAGATTTTTTTTACCTTGTTAACTCATCTTCTTTGGAGTACAGCAGAGCCTGGGATAGTTGAATATGCAGAGCAAAGGCATTTCATAAGGAGGATGCAACCCGGGTGCAGGTGTGAGAATGGTACAGTAACAGGTCAAAGAGACCGGAGCATATCTGCCAAGGAGTGAGGGGAAGTTAGCAGAGGCATGGTTATGAAGAGCTTTGTAAATAAGCATGAGAATTTTGAAATGTATCCTAAATTGAACAGAAAGAGTTGCTGGATGTAAAGTAGAGTTGCTGAATGATAGGTAGAGTTGCTGGAAGTAAAGTAGATTTTCTGTATGTAAGGTTAATTTATGATAAATGTGCTTATATACGAATTCTACAATGTTTATTGTTTGACCTTTTCACCAGAAAAAGAAATGATCATAACTCAAATGAACTTTTTAGTAAAATGTGCTGCATTCACTACATTACAGTATTAATTTATAATAATAGACATTATTAACTGTGCTAAGATTGCATTCAATGTTCTATTTAATTGGATGATCTTACGGAAAAAAAAAATGTAGCTCATCATTGCTGAAACCTATAGTCTTTTGTTTAGAATACATTTCTTGGTGATTTCAGAGTTTTATCTTTGTTGAAGGAACAGACTAAAATTATATTAGTTTGACTTCTGCATATTAAATTGCCCTGCTACCAAAAGGGTCATCTTAGCTGCATTATAGTGTCCTTTCTTTCTAAACATATAATCCATTATTAGATTTTACTCTAGGGAAAGAAAATCAAAGTCTATTATTACATGTTAATGTACATTATTTTTTTTTTTTTTTAAAAGATAAAACCATCACAAACAAGGAACACAAAGCATCAACAGTATTCTTTGGAGTTGAAGATTATTCTACAAGGCAGCAAGAAAGATTCCCAGGCACTCAAAATGTGAAAGCCGCAGGCAGGTTTATTGCAACAAAATAGACAGCAACGTTTCGACCTAACAAGAGGTCTTTTTCAAGCTCACAACACACAGCAAAAAAAAGTGCATATATAGCAAACAATGCCAGGAGAAAGGTCAAACAATAATTCACTTAAGTCATTAACATGGGTCAATAATTAGTGCAGAAATACACAGATCATATCAAATACACACATCATATAAAAAGTATACAAACATAAATACAATACATACAATCATATAATATACATAATATGATCCCATTACTAACTTACCCCTATGTTCCATGTAGAGGAGAGACAGAGCAAGATAAAAAGAAAAATGTAATATACAATAAACCGGTAAAAACGGCTGTCCGGGTGCTTAAATAAATAATTTCCGGGTAATTGGAACGCATACAGGGCTGTTGGAAGGCAAAAATGTGAACGCCCTTCTTATGGGGCGGCATAAGTATCAAAGTAATAGCCGTTCCTGTGATCAAAAACACAAACGGCATTTCAGAGCATGCGCACAAGTGCGCGAACAGGACTGAGTGTCAAGGTGTAAGAAATTGATAATCCAAACTGCAATATTGTATATAACTTTCTGTGTATGTGACTGGTTTCACAAGTTGGGGTCATTTACTTGATAACAGTGTGATAAGGATCAAAGTGTTCAGTTGCATTTTACACCACCCAGCTAAGACAAAAGCTTACATCCCTCCAGCAGTTCTCCTGCCAACCAGTTTTAACATCTAGGTGTAACCATGGAAGTGTGTGTTTTCCCAAGCAATCCTGTCCAATCTACCAAGAAACCTAATCAACTGGTCTTTCACATTGTTACAGTATGGCTGGAGGGAAGAGATCAAAGGGAAAGACTTGTGTAAAGACAGAACTCTCTGGAGAAAGAGGGACGGATAAACCACTTTTGGGAAGGAAAAGGGATTCTGGGAATTGTAGTTTATTACTCCAAGAATCAGTCTTTAAAAGGACAACATCCAAGGAAGGCTCTCTCTCTCTCTCTTTGGAGAGGACAGCGCAGCAAGCAGGGCCATGGTGAACTGAGAGAGGCTGTCCCAGATTACCCAAGATGAAGGCGCAAGGGGAAGAACTCAATTGAAATGTTTAAGTATTGCCCTTTTATTATGTATATTTTGATTATGTACTGGATTTAATGTATAATGTATATTGTGTATATCCTTTTAAAATCTAACAGTATCCTTAAATGAATATTTACAATACATTTTATTATACACTTGTGTTTGTGTCTTATTTTTCACACATTCCCTAAAAGAATATCCTTGTAAGAGGGTCATAATTTCTTACATAGGCTATTGCCAGTTGTGTGATTAAACACACGGACAGCACTTAAGCCCCTGAACAAACATAGGAAATATAGTCATTGTGTCCACCGGCAATTTGCCGAATAATAGTAATTATAGGCAAATGCAATTATTGTTTGACCTTTCTACTGGCATTGTTTGCTATATATGCACTTTTGTTTGCTGTGTGGTGTTAGCTTGAAAAAGACCTCTTGTTAGGTTGAAATGTTGCTGTCTATTTTGTTGCAATAAATCTGCCTGCGACTTTCATATTTTGAGTGCCAGGGAATCTTTCTTGCTGCCTTGACGTGTTGGAATTGCTGGTCCTGTTCCGGAGCACCTGTTGCTGCTGGGAGTGAGTGCGGTTCCTGTGACCAATTTTGAAGATTATTCTACAGTCATTTATCAATAAAAATAACATCAAGCATTGTAGATATTAAAAGTTAATTTAATATTTGGCTACAATGAAGTGGGCTCGAAACAATAAATAAGTACTTAAGTACTTTAAGTACGTATAGTTAATTATACCATTAATTTGTTTTGTTTTTTCTAAATATTTTCAAGACTATGGATAGTATGAAACTTCTTTTATAGTGAAACAACAATTTGCAAAGAGGATTGTTAAAGTACCATAAAAATGTGTGTGTGGTTTTTTTTTTTTTTTTGCTTCTATGAATATATTTAAAAGCTTTGTAAATACTCACAGACTGGGCCCAACATTTCATATACAGGTATAAAAAATGTATATATATGAAATGCTGAGCCCAGTGTAAGAGTATTTGCAAAGGTTATATATTCATAGTCAAGAAACAAATCTAAATGATGTATTGAGTTTATGCATTGAGTTTTAACAGGTATTGATAAACTGGTATAGCCTTGTGGATAATTATCAAAAGTAATCACAATCAATTTCTGATTAAAGAAAGAAAAATGTATTCATAACATGGTAACAGTATAGATATCAAAAGAAACAAAGACCAAACAATTAATCTCTAAACATGAAAATAAATGAAATAATTAAGACATTGATTGTGAACCTTTGGAAATGAGTTCACAATTTTTAGAATTAAATAAATGTATTGCACTAATTATTACAGAATTTAGGTATCAAAAAGGTATGCCAATGAGAATAGCTTATGCAACTAGAGAAGTCAATAACAATGATTAGTTATAGGTTATGCAAGTTCTGTTAAAAAACAATTGACTAAATAGTGCTCACCAGGTAACTAAAAAAATTTATAGAGGTTGGAACAATATAAATATATGTGTAATGTGTTGCTTCAACTCTTAAATAAAAGCGAATAAATTAACGTTATTAAGAAATGGAGACTATAAAATGTGATTATTTAAGATGATAATAAGAAGAAAGTATTAACCAGGAAAGGTACATTCAGATTGCTCTGGTTTTCAAGGGCGTCCTGTGGATGTTATTTTTTGCCCTACATCCACGGAATATTACTATTACCAAATTTAATTGTACTCACTTATGGGTATTTCAAACCACAACTGGGACAGGACAGGACAGGGAACAATTAAACAATTAACAAGAATGTAAGCATAAAAGGTCTCCCCTCCTACACCAGACTTTTTTCTGTCCTCAGCCAAATAGGACATTTCTTTTCTAATCAATTGATTCTTTGGTCACCTTCCATGTTTACTACAGGCATACCAGATGAAGTTCAGTCTCTTTGTCTGAATAATTCAGTAAACAGGCTGCATGAGCAAGACTAACTGAGTTAGGTTTAGTTTACATATTAAACTGCAACATGGGATATTGAATGTTCATCCTGCTCGATGCATTTAGTTCCTATTCAGTTTAAAATCGGTGCTCTGTGAATCTTCTGAATCCTATACGAAAGCACTGATTTTAATTCAAACACTGAATGCATCAGGGTGATTACATAAGATATGGTCAAACTGACTGAATTCTGATTGCATTAGGCTTTAGTAAATCTGCAAATTGCCAATACGGGTAGATTTTGGTTATTTTCACTGGACTTTGTACATCCCACGAAAATCTGGTTGTTTAGTGAATAACTCTGTTTATGTTTAATACAAAATAAAGATTGAAGATTCTACGATTGAATTTGTAGTTTCTGCATCCTAACAATTTTATAATCTCTTTGCTTTATCAGGTTTAAAAATTTAATTAAGCCAACATTCTTTGACCTCACAGACAAATGTTTTTTTTTTTCTGATCTTTAGTAGGTGCAGAGTGCTTGTAAAGCAAAATCAATGAGATCTACTATAACATCTCTATGAGACAAAATAGTATATCACTGTGCTCATAAAACATTTTAAATGTGTTATTGATCCGGATGCATTCAACAAAAGGTTCCAGGCAATCTTTATGAAACCCAAACCTCTGCTTCTTCCTAATAAAAGCAATCTGCTTGGTTGTTGCCTAAAGATTTCACAGGTTCCATAGTGTGCTTGTTATATTCTATTACGCACATAGATCAGAAGAATAATACACTTGCTACACTACAAAACAATAATTTCAAATAATCTTAGACATATGCTTTGAGTATTCATAACTCTACATTAGTCATTAAAACATTCAGCACATTAATTATGAACATATCTTTAATATACTATTTCATTTGGGTTTTTGTTTTAGCTTAAAGGGACACTCTGTGCATTAAAACAACTTTAGCTTAATGAAGTGACTTGGTGTATAGATCATAAGCCTGCAACCTTCATTGCTCAATTATTTTTCATCTATACTCCTTTATGCTACATGAAGCATGTATAGATCATGCCCTTGCAGTCTCACTTCTCTTTCATTAAGGGGTTAAGTCACTTGGTTTATACAGCCATTGTCACACATCCCTTGGCTGTTATTTACACAGCCTCAATGGTTTAATTTTTACAGAACAATGTGATTACTTTAGTTTTTATTTCCTGCTCTTTTAATTGAACTTTAACATAAGCTAAAATTTTAGTCTCTTTTTCAGTATCTATGTTAGTCTCAGCCAACAGAGGCTGCAAGGGCTGTATAACAATCTCAATAAAGCTTTGTGTACTTAATTTGAACTCCTACAAATTTGGAATTTGCATGCCCCGCTGTGTAAAGTGAGGGTAAAAGGAGCACATATGAACTGGATCACAGCTGATTTCATCCAAATGTACCAGTTTCAGGATTTTTTGTGGTCAAAGTTTAAGCGTACTGGCTCTATGAATGATCACTGTGCATATAGACAATGGCGAAATATATACACAAAACAGACACAATTGGCCAAGGCCCAATATTTCTATGAAAATCTGAACAATAACATCTCAAACCCTAGAAACTTTTGGAAAGTCATAAATAAACTACAAACTCCCCCAATCCACTCCCAACCCTCCACTGTCAAAGTGGATAAACAAACCCTGCAACTTCCTTTAGATGTAGCAAATGCCTTTAACAATTATTTTGTTGGATGCTCTACTGCCCTGATTGCCAAGCTAATAAATGACATGCATCCTGAAACTACAAATGTATCAGGTCCCACTAAATTTGCAAAGGCCCAATATAGACAAGTTCATTTTTAGACCTGTACCTGTTAGTGTCATTAAAAAACATCTTAATAATCTAAAAATGAAAAACCAGTCCGAACCTGATCAAATCCCAGCAATGCTGTTGAAGCTCAGTGCGCCGGCAATGGTAAACCCGTTGCAACTCTAATTAACGAATCCTTGGTGTCTAGATACATACCCAAACTTTGGAAGACTGCGAGAGTAGTGCCTATCCATAAATGTGGTGACACTAATTTGGTTTCTAACTATCGCCCAATATCATTGCTCCAGGTATTGTCAAAAATCTTAGAAAAATGTGTCCATACACGACTACGTGAGTACTACCAACAATCAAACTATCTGACCCCTGATCAATCGGGCGTTCGCCAGAATCACTCCACTACAACTGCCTCTTAAAAGTTTGCAATAACATCCAAACTGGCATGGAACAAGGAGACCTAACTGGAGCTATTTTCCTTGATTTTGCTAAGGCCTTTGACACAGTAGACCACGACATTCTACTGCACAAACTAAAAAACTCAGGTATTGGTGATCGTTCGCTAACCTGGTTTCGATCTTATGTATCAAATCGCTTGCAATATGTGTCAATTTCTGACAGTGACTCCCTCCCTCTCCCTCTCCGTGTGGTGTTCCCCAAGGTTCCATTCTCGGCCCCCTACTATTTACATTATTTATAAATGATATGCCTAATGTCTGCAAATCCTCAAATGTACACCTGTACGCAGATGACACAGTAATCTATGCGAGCAAATCCAATCTACCGCAGCTTGAGGCTGTGCTCCAAGACCAGTTTACAGAGGTAGAAAAGTGGATCACAAAAAACAAACTCTTCCTGAACACTGACAAAACTGTCACAATAATCTTTGGAACATTATCTAAATTACACAAATTACACAATTCCCACCTATCAATCAAAACAAATTCAAATGGCACACTGACCACAGTCCACTCTTTCAAATACTTTGGTATGATGTTAGACCCCAATCTATATTTTGGCCTGCACATAGAAAAGCTTGCATCTAAACTTTATCCAAAACTAGGTGCCCTGTACAGAAACAAATCCTGCCTAAGCCCTACAGTAAAGGAAAAGATTGTACAACAAATGCTGATGCCAATCATTGATTATGGGGATGTAGTATATGCATCTGCATTGCAATCCAACATTAATAAACTCAATACATTGTACAACATTGCTCAATACATTGCTACAATGTAATTACAGGACTCACCATTGTGACATGCTAAAATAACTAAACTGGCTGTCGCTGGAATACAGACACACCCTTCATCTTTCCAGCCTTGTGTTTAAGAGCTTTTCTGGGAAACTCCCACCCTACCTGAACAAAATGCTTTCCCAGCTGTTCCCACTTCCTATAACCTCCGATCCAGTACCAACACTTTACTTAGTCTACCTCAATACAAAAAGAAAACAGCCCGATCCTCCTTCTCCTACAGACCTACAGCACAATTTAAAATCTTCCCTAAGCCTAAAGTCCTTTAAGAGATCCCTCTCTACATACCTCAAAACAGAATGCACCTGTCATTGTTGATTATATATTTCCTGCCTGTTCTATGTTAACCCCTTCAGGACGGGTGACGGACGAGGTCCGTCACAGAGGGGAGACCCTTAACGACGGGTGACGGACCTCGTCCGTCATGCGGTAAAATTAACCCCGGATCGCCGCTATTGCGGCGATCGCGGGGTTAATGGTGCTCCCGGTATGCCTCTGCATTAGAGGCATACCGGGAGCACCCGGTCAGGCTGCCCAGCACATGTGCTCGCTCTGACCGCAAGTCAGAGCGAGCACATGTGCTCTGTATACTCACCTACCGGCTCCCTGCACTTCCGGGTTCTGTGTGAAGTGCAGGGAGCCGGATCAGTGCTGATCCTGCCCCCTGCTGTTTAAAAAAATAAAGTTTATTTAAAGTCCCCCTTACCCATTTTAATAAAAAATTAACCCCTTCCCTGCCAATTGATCACTGACTACAGTGATCAATTGGCAGGGATTACATTTTACTATGATCTGATTTTTTTTTTTTAACCCCTGAGGGTTAATTCTTTTTTTTTTTAACCCTCAGGGGTTAAATTAATTAAATTAATTAATTAAATTATTTTTAATTATATATTTAGCTAGCTGGGGTAGGTGGAAGTTAGTGGGGAATTGGGGGATTTGGCGTTAGGCTAACTAGGGGTTAACGTTAAAAAAAAGTTTTAAAAGAAACTTTAAAAAGTTAAAAATTAAGCTTAAAAAAATGTTTTAATAACATTTAAGTAAAAAAAACAAAAAAAACACACTTTACCTAGTCCAAATAAAAATTAACCCCTTCCCTGCCAGTCGATCACTGCCTACAGCGATCAAATAGAGATCACAGTATTATACTGTGATCTAATTTTTTTTAACCCCTGAGGATTAACTTTTATTTATTTTTTTAACCCTCAGGGGTTCAATTTATTTAATTAATTAATTTAAATATTTTATAACTATATATTTTGCTAGCTGGGGTGGGTGGGAGTTATGGGAAAATGGGGAATTTACTGTTAGTGCTGCGTACTGCTAGTTAGGGGTTAACGGTAAAAAAAAAAGCTTAGAAAAATGTTAAATCTGTAAAAAAGTTTTAAGAAAGTTTAGGAAAGTTTAAAAAATTTTTATAAGCAAAACAAAAGTTTAAAAACTAGTTTTTAAAAGTAAAAAAGTTATAAAAAGTAAAAAAATACATTTTAAAAACGCTCATTACCACTACACCTGGAACAAATTAGAGAATAAATTATCCCACGCCAAGGTTCAAAATATGCCTTTTGAATTACCCCAGGGTGTATTCTTTAATAAATAGTATGTGTTTGTGGGGAAGTTTCAATAACTAACCGTCTAAACTACTCCAAATTGGAACATGGACACAGCGTAAAACTTCAAAGTTAGAAAAAACTGAATGGCTGCGTCTCAAATGCGCCCCTTCAACATCCACATATACCTGGCAAAGGTACATACGGGGGTATTGCTGTACTCAGCCGACATAGCTGAGCAACATATGAAGTATTATACAGTCATAGCACACATAAGGTTTGCAAAATATGCTGCGCAAACTCACTTTGTATGTCAAAAAGGCAGAAAAAATGCTTATTACCACTACACTTGGTACAAGCTAGCGGAAAAATGATCCCACGCTAAGGTTCAAAATATGCCTTTTGAAATACCCTGGGATGTC